ATAGGATCTCCAATTGACAATAAAAGGTTTGGCACAAAATTGGGTATTCACTTTGAAAATCTGGGCACAACTGCCATATCAACCACTGAATGGAATCTACTAGTTTATTATGATTTAAGTCTTTATTGGACGGAAGCAGCAGCTCTAAACACAGGAATAATGTCGCTACATCAAGCTTGTCAACAAATGAAACCAAACGCATCATGTGCGAATACAGTTAATCACTTTAAACATATTGAATCCGAACTACAACTCGATGATAAATTACTTCATGATCATCGCTTCAAAAGAGGAGCAATTGACCTTGTAGGCAATATTGCACATTCACTGTTTGGAGTATTAGATTCAGAATATGCCAAAGGAATGTCAAATATAATTACAGAAGTGAAACAAAATGAAATACAATTATTGACGCTATTTAAGAATCAGACATCAGTTGTCGATTCAACAATCAACATAATGAAGAAAGATAAAATAGCAGTTCAAGAAGGTTTTGACCACATTGACAATGAAATAAAGGCATTGATAAATTCAATAAAAGATACAAATAGAGAGGTAAATCAATTACGGCTCAATCAAGTTTTCAATGCAGGAGCCATTCAATTAACACTGGTAGCACATAATCTACAGAAGATACAATCTGCTATTATAGATGCTCTAACTGATACTCATCATGGAAAAGTGAATCCATTGTTATTGACACCAACACAATTACAAAAGGAAGTTAATCAAATCAAACTTCATTTATCACCATCATTAGAATTACCGATGCCAGAAGATGAGTTAATATCCCTTTACAGACTAATGAAGGTTAAAGGTGGAATCACACAGCAGCATGCAGTTTTTAGTATAACACTACCCTTGATTGAACATGAACGATTTGAATTGTTTCAGCTAATTCCAATCCCGAACTGGGTAAATGACTCCATGACGGTAATTGACTCCTGCAGTTCTATTTTGGCTATTAATACGCAGCATGATCAATATTTTCCTCTTATAAAATCCGAATTAAGTCTTTGTGAGACCATTAAGGAAGAGGAATTTCTTTGCACCAACGTCCGCATACGATACAATTTTGGTTCCGAAGTATGTGCGTGTGAGGTCAACCTATTCAACAACAACACAATACCAAATTGTCGGTTGAAACACACTATCAACAAGCTGACCTGGATTCCATTGAATCACAAAAATCAATGGATTTATGCAACATCAACATCTTCACGAGCAACTGCAGTATGTAATAAGGAAATCATACCACTAAATCTAAAAGGTTCAGGATTATTGACGATAGATCCAGACTGCGTGCTTAAACACAACTTTGTTTCCGTGCAAGGACAACAAATAATTGCAAGCACGGCAAGATATTCATACAGTAGTCTTGGTACAATCTCCGAATTAAGGCTACAACCCCCTATGAAGACATCAGATGCTTACAGCGGCAACAGTACACTGTCAACGATACGTAACAACCAATACGATCAACAGCTTAAAGAACTCACAGTATTGCAGAAGGTGTTGCAGTCATACCAGATAAATGATCTTCCAAATCAATTTCAGTCACACAAGTACCACAGCTTCACCATAGCTTACGCTGCACTCGTTATAGGGCTGATATTAATCATAATCATGATGAAGAAGAAATTGCAGAAAAAACATGTTGAAATTTCATCCGTTGAAGAAGCCAACCGCACGACACCTATTCCCATGCCACGACGACAGTCACGAGAATTCGTTATCAACATATAGTCGGACTGACTACCTGACAGCTAGAGGCTCATATTGTTGAACGGTTGTTCAACGCGGGGGAGAATGTTGAATATTTGTTTATATTATGTTATATTATTATATATGAATATTTTGTTGTCATTAATTTTGTATGAATAATTTGTTATTTTTATTTGTATTGTAATAATTGTGTTAAATATATTTGGTGTAAAAAATAACGTTGTCAATGCAATGCCCAAAATACGTCATAGGCTTCTGCTGGCACATGAAAACAAAAGCGTCAAATTTCGTCTGCAAGAAAATGCACTCTTGCAGTTTGCAATAAGTTCATTGTTTGGCATGCATTGTCAAGGTTATTTTAGTTAATTTATTTGTTGTAAATTAATTATCAATTTTAAATAAAAGGCACAATTGAATTTTTGACAATTGCAATTGATGCGAAGCCACATTCGTGATTGATTCATTTCTTTAGCTTTGTAAATTTAGTTCAAGTGCTGAATTTACGTCACAAAAGCGCCTATTCACTGGATTTAAGTGTTCAGTGACTAGGATAATTAGGAAAATCGTCGAAATCTCTGGGTTCAAGTACTCAGTGGTTTTCTTGTTTAAATAGAATCAACATAAGTACTGGATTCAAGTGTTCAGTGCTTGCAAATAGTTGATTCCAACGTTGATCAGACATTTTGGTTTGATCGTACAACATTTTTTATTGCTTCTTAATTCCAATGCCATCTTTTAAATGTAAAATAATACGTATTAATCGCGAGAATAATTTAAAACAAATGTCGTGAATATGCACCGCTATTACCGCGTATCATATATGAACATAATTCGATGAAAGTAGGCACGGGTTATCGTACTGTAAATAAGGTAAAAATTTATTTTCGAATATTTTAGATGCACATGAACAAAACTAAGACCTATGCGTTAGAAATTTAAAACTTCGAAAACTAAGGGACCCTAATATATATATATATATATATGTATATATATATACATTGTGGTTTTTCTGCAGAAGTTGTTCTGTCAATTTCCATTTGATGTATTTTATAAGCAAAAAAACTACTGACGCACAGAAAAAATATTTAGCAATATTCGAAAAACTAAAGAAGTTTAGAGTGTGTTTGGCATTAATTTTAAGTTGACATTTCTGTTCGAAGGTTTGACATTTTCTACCATAAATGTAATTATAACGATTTTCACGATTTTTGACACGGATTAGCAAGAAGAAAATGCATCAGTCAACTTAGTTCGATATTTGATGATAAAATACCACATCCAATGACTGTAAAGCGCTGGTTAAACGAGTTTGAGTGTGAATTTGATTTTCAATACGACGAATTTCTGACTTTCGAATTTCTGACATTGATGCAGTGCTAGAAATTATGGAGATGGATTGGTATGTTGTATACCGAGATACAGTGGCGTCCTTGGGATCAGTATACATTCAATTTTATATATGCATTTAGCTGTCAGAAAGAATTGTTTCCATTGGATTACGCATAATTTAAAAATTGCTCAAAAGAAGATACGTAATGATTAGTGCAAGGAAATGCTGAAAAATAGGACCGAGGAAAATTAAAACACGTCTACATTATCGTGACAGATGACGAATCATGCTTCTGAGCTCGAAACAAACCAGCAATCTATTGTTTGGGTCTACCAAAATGAGCAGCACCCGACATAATCATGTTGCAACTGTACCATTTGAGCAATGTAGAACGGTTAGTTCTTAGTGGTACACAATCATTTGTTTGCCTGAAGTTTTTGTAGAATTGAAAAAATCAATCGTCGAAGGAAGATTACCCTCTACCACGACAATTCGAGTTTCCATACATCAGTTTAAATAAAAAAGTTTTTAGGCACTCAAAGCACTACATTAATAGATCATCCGTCTTACAGTTCCGACTTTTCTTTTTCTACACCCGAACAGGCCGTTGAGACATTCAAAACCCTGATTTTAAGGATACCAACATCACCAACATGCGGTGTTCGAAAATCCAGCATAGATCATCTCCGATAGGGGTTTCCTCTAGAACAATTTTATTTCTATTGCAAGGTGCAGATATTATACAATTCCAAATAAAAGCAGGTTTGACATGTGTCAATGACCAGCTCAACGCTGTCGTCAGCAACATTTTGGTTAAAAAAGTATTGATGATCTCACGAGACATTATCGTTGTACTGAAAAAGTACAACAAGCGATCAATTCTACATAATCTGAATATATTAAAATTATTTTTTTCAAATTAATGATTGGTGTAAAGATGAAAACTCAGTATGACATCAGTGCTTAACAGTTAATTAATGACGAGTTAAAGCTGCAATTTGATGATGACCGGCGATAGTTGCGTCAGCAAGCGAAACAACAATTTCAAAACATGGAAGCGAAAAATTGAATATCATGTCATTCACATCGAAAACTAGCAGTTTTTTCAAGAGAAGCGATTTAATAGCTTCTCGTTCTGTATTAAACGAACGTAGTGTAAGCTCCCTTACGCGATCGTCTGGCTTGTCCATTTGTTTAATCGGAGATATGTGATGAATAGTATTTAAGGCATCTGTTAGGGTGATCCTTTAAGCTCTATTTATACATAATGTCACACATCTTTGTATTGCGAGGTGATTTTTTATTGTTGATTTTTCTAAAGTTGGCCTTCAAACTAATATTCCATATAGAGGGATGGGTTTAATTATTTCAGGTTACTTTTAACTTTTGCAATGCTTCACTTGGTAGTCCTTTTAGTTGGTCACAGATTGTCTCATGTTTGTTTGGCTAATTGACCAAGAACAAGTCGATTGAAATACAACTCTCATTTTAGTAGTTTGGTTTGATACCTCTATATTTTTCTTTAAATTCAGATATCCACACGATATTTATAGATATAAGAAATATAATATAAGAAATATAACTTATTCTGCTTCATATATGGCATTGAATTATTTAATTTCTTCATATTCATATATCTGCAAGAAAATATTTCAAAATAAAATCAGATTGTTATTGCATTAAAATTTATAAACAGTATTTAGGTTACCGTGCTTTTCTATTTACTAATGGCACTAGGTTAGATTATGGTAATATTGCAGTCGATATGATTAAAAAACTTATTAAAAGTTTTTATTAATTAACTTATCTTTAATTAATGAAAAATATAACCCAATTCAAGCGATTTCTATTCATCGACAACTTCAAACAAAAAAAATAAATAATGCTTGTATATTAATGACATTATTATTATCACATAAAAATAAACAATATTTATATTATCTTTCAGAAAACAGTGGAGAACAACAAAATATTATAACATCTGAAGAAAAATTCACAAAGCTGAAACTTATGTATGCACAAATTAGAGATGAACATATCCACCTATTACGACAGGTCTGTATTTAAAATATGTATAAGTAGTAATTTATTTTATAAACAGTCTTAACATGAAGAAGGTTACAATTTATTTTTTCATAACTTAACATATATTGTTACGAGATTAATATTAATTTTAAAATATAATAACTAAAATAAAATTGAACAACTTCAACTCATTTTATTTCAATCAAAGTAAACTAATTTTATTTTTATTTTTGTGGTTATTTATATAAATACCGCCAACGTTTCAAAGTTTATTTGACTTCTTTCCCAAGCCGCAGTAATATTATAACTGCTTTTGGGCACATACAAAGTTGTTATTTACACTAGAATCTGTTTACAAATTTAATTTTAAACATTGAAATATTGGCTATTGGCAAAGTAGCCACAAAACAATTAAATTTAACAATAAGTATTATTTATCTACATAGGTTGGTCATTACTAGCCATTGTTTGATAAGAACACACGCAACTAGATTGGGTAGTCGCAATAGGGGTTTCTCAGTTATCGAATATTTATATAATTGCTCGTTTGTTGTTACATGTCCAAATTAATGCATATATATTTGTGTTGCAAATGAAATTGAAACGAGGTTATCAAACGAGGAAATATCTATGACAATTAAAGACACAATAATAGAAGTAGCAAACAATGAAGGCGTGGTCAGATCTAGAAGGATAGAAGTTTGGATGACGAGTGAAATCCTGGCATTAGTGGACGAATGAAATCGGTATAAAAATAAAGATACTCGCAAATATAAGGATATACACAGATATATATGTCTTCTTATTATACAAGCAGAAGACGGGTTTTACAAAAACGAATGTGATGAGAAAAGGATATAGGATTTATTTAAATTACACAAGGAAATTAAAAATATGACGACTTTTAATAAAAGAAAGAGAAGCACACTAATGGATAAGGAAGGTAAATACATAACAGAAAAAGACGAAACACTTCGCATGTGGGAAAGCTATATCCAAACTCTCTTTGCGAGCAATCGATCATCCGTGCTATCCGATCTAACAGTTGATTCAGGTCCAAATATATTCTTTGATGAAGTTCAAAAAGCAATAGATGGTGTACCAACAGAATAGAATACCAACAGAATTGGTGAAATTATTCAAGCACAATGGCGTACTAAATTTAACAAGATTTTTTAATAAAATTTATTAGATTATTAGATTTATTAGGTTAGATATCCAATGATTGGCTGCAATCTATGTTTATTACGATTCCAAAGAAAACTACATGTGCAGATTTTAGAACAGTCAGCTTGATGAGTCATGTGTCATAAATATTCCTCCGAATTATACATAATTGAATTTATCCAAAACTTAAGAAACAAATGAGTGATACTAAGTTTGGTTTTCGCAAAGGGCTTGGTGTAAGAGACGCCTTGTGTGGAATACGAGTCCTAATAGAACAATGCCGAGACTATAACAGGGATGTCTTTTTACATTTTACATTAGCACTACCGATTAGATGAAAAGGATATCCGAATAATAGCAAACTTATACTGGAAACAGATGCATACATTTCCGTACTCATAAACAATTTGAGGTACGCCGATGATACAGTGCTTAATGCCGATTCTCTAGAGAACTTACAGTATCTTTTAGACGTTGTTGCATTGAAGTGCATAAAATACAGCTTATAATTAAATTCCAGTAAAACCCAATATATGGTGGTGAGCAAACGACCTATTTCTGGAGGTAGACTGTCAGTATGTGGCTGATTCATAAAAAGAACAAATAAGTATAACAACTTGGAATGCCAGCTTGATGAGCAATGGGAAAACTATATAGAAACTTGCATCCAAATTGAAAAAGTAAGGTCTTCTTTTATTATAATGAAAAACTTGATGTGTTCCCGGGAACTGTCGTTACCGCTCAGAATAAAAATACTGCGATATTATATATTCTCTATACTCCTCTACGGGACAGAGACCTGGTCGATGTCTGTTGCTCGAGGCCATTAAAATGTGGTGCTATTGACGCATGTTTAAAATAAGGTGACTGAAAGATTTACAAATGCAGAGGTACTTTGGCGTGTCAACAAAGAGATAGAAATAAAAATTACAAAATTCCAATTAGAAATAAAATTGTAAAACAATAATAAAGTTATTAAACTTATCTACTCATTCTTCTCTTAAAATTCGGCTGCATATACACGTCGAACTATAACAAAGGTTCTTAGTTTGGTATCTAGAATTGTTTCTAACACTATCTTATATATCGCTTATTTATATGTTTAAAACCTTTATGTCTTCCCATATATAGGGAACCGTAATGCCTCAAACCGTAATATTACTGTAATACTTTAATTCTTAAACGAAATTACACTAATAAAAATAGTTTACAGTTACTTTTTCATTCATATATGATATTTATTTTCAAACAAAGATATACAAATATTTTTTAAATTATTTATTGAAACATTACATTTACAAACAAACATATTCGTATTCTATCTTTTAAAAAATAATTAAACAATTTTTACACGAATGAACTTAAACGTAAAATTTTACTTTAAAAAATTTCAGTTCCAAAATTTGATTTAATTCACATAATAAATTTAATAATGAAAATTCAAACTTTTTAAATTTTTTTTTTTTTGGCACCAAATAAAAAAGTGAATCAATTTAATATTTAAGGACTAATAATCTCGTTAAAAAAGGCAAACCTCAAGAAATAGCAGAAACACCTATGCTCTTTACAGGGCAAGAGTAACTTTTTCTTCTATCAAAGTTTCGTTTACAGCCAAAGTTTATCTTTTGTTGAATAAAAACGTAGTTTAAAGTTAATGTAAGATAAAAGATAACACTATATTATCAATATTTGTTTCCTATATTATCAATCGAGAACTTTTGTTTTTCTTGCTTCTACCTCGCAAAATTTCGAAAAATTCTACCTCGCGAAAATCTGCCCTTAGCGAAAATTTCTGCTTCTACCTCGCAGTCTATATTTGAGTTACACGTGAAAATTTATATATCGTAGTTTAACGAAGCCGCTGAATTTGTATGCACTAAATTATGTAAAGTCATAGTATAGCTCATACAGTTCATTGTTCCATATAATTCGCTGCTCCTCGCTAACGCGTAAGGGACCATAGATCTTCCGAAGAATTTTTCTCCCAAATGCTCCTAACTTCTTCTAACCACTGTTGGTAATTGTCCAACCTTCTGCACCATACAGTAGGATAGGTATAATAAAATACTTGTAGAGCATGGTATTTCTTTGTCAACAGAAGTCTGTATTTCTCAATTGCCTACTTAGCCCGAAGTAACAGCTGTTGACAAGGCTGAATCTCTAAACTGACGTTATTTTTGGTGTTTACGCTGGTTCTTAAATAAACGACTTCGAACTTATAATTGTCGACAGTGACGTGAGTCCTAAACTGCTTAGGAGATTTGTTTGTTGACAGAGAGTACTTTGTTTTATCCTCATTTACCACAAGACCTATTTGCTTCGCTTGTTTTTCTAAGTTGGAAAATGACGCACTGATGACGCGGGTGTTCAGACCAATGATCAATATCAGCTTTATACGCAAGCAGTGTTATTCTTTCGTAAAATATTGTGCGAATGCAGTTTAAATTGTCTGTTCGAATTATCGTTTCAACATTAGGTTAAAAAAGTCTCACGACAAGGTATCACCCTGTCTGAAACCTTGTTTGGTATCAAACAGCTCTGAAAGGTTTTTCCCGATTCTAACGGAACTTGTAGTGTTGCTCAACGTTATTTTATATTTTAGCTGTATAAGTTTGTTACAATTTACAATTTATTTTTCTTACCTACATCTAATATTAATATTATGTACTTAAATGCTATTAGTTATAATAATTCTAAACTTTTATAAACTTATGTTATTGGTCAAAATATATGGCGATACATATGGTCACCAACTGTAAAGGGGGCAAATAATATTGCATTCACAATTACTTGCAATATTATCTTGCAGAACACTAGACATATTTTCATGTGTTCTAAATTCCAAATCGTGAAGTGCATGTTGAAGTATATATTATACGATTAAAGATTTGTTATAATGTAATGACAAAAAAGGAGTCGACTTTAAAACTTATTGGTTGTTTTATTTTGGTATTTTTTGTGTTTGGTTTATAAGTTACTCTATTGAATTGTTGTGGATTAAAGTGTCACTTAAAAAAATGTCACATGTGATTTGCGTTCTGTCATGTGTAATAATAAATTTGTTCAAATATAAATTTATTATTTTTTTTTTGAATCAGACTTTCATTCGATATAATATATTTCTTCTCTTTTTAATTCAGCAGGAAGAAATCTGCTCATTAGTAGGCATCCGAGAATGCCGAGACAAAAATAATTTGTGAGACTTTTGTTTAAGCTGTTCGAGCTCAGTTTAAAATCTGAATTTTATTAACAATTTTCCAAACTATTTATACAAAATGTTTTACAATAATTTACAAATATTTTTCCTAATAATTTTAATTGCGGCGGCACTAAAAAGGTTGACCCACGTCAATGCTTAGAAAATATTATGACACATTCAAGTGTGTCATATCGACATGTGCAGAATAGTAGCACAGAAAAGAAAAGTGTCAAATAGCAATTGCATACTTGCTATGACCAAATATTCTACTTGCATTGCGGTGGTTCTTCCGTGTGCGATCGCATTACATATTACATTAGTTAATATAAAATAATTTGTGCATAAGCACTTTCAAAAATACATAACATAATTTATTGTTTGTTTTTGTTTACATTGATGCGCTATACACAGCACATGGTTTGATATGAAAAGAATTCTTGCCTCTGGCATCAAAATGCCGAAGGCGTTATAAAATAAAGAAATTCAAGAGGATTTAGCATTTGGCATCAAAATACCGGTTGTGTAATATTCTACAGAAATACAGGAGAATTTAGCTTATAACATCAAAATAATTATAATTTCCTAGAGAGACGGCGTTATAATTTCCTAGAGAGACTTAGGTACTGCGTTGGTGCTTACCTCGTCGGTGTGTTGGCGCTAAGAG